GTTTCGATCTGGGTGTATTTGGTTAAGTCAGGTGTTTTGTGTAGTACAGCTGATATGGATTCTTTCGCTGAGCTACACATATTTGCCTCCATTGCTATCACATGGATCCCTCAGCCTATTTTGAATCATAAAGTTGGAAGGGGCAGTTTAGTTTATTGAGTCAGATTCCCTACTCGGTGGAGGTATCAAAGCATTTTTGAAAGATGGCTGCCTAGCCTGTGCTTGAACATGTACAGTTAAAGGGGAGCCTACCACCTGTAAAGGAAATTAGAGATGATCTTGGAGAAGGTATGAAAGGAATGTTAAGTTGTGACTTACAGAAAAGATTACACAGTCCAGAGATTGAAGAAAGAAACTCAAAATAACCCCACCTAGATTTTGTTTATTATAAAATGGGAGAGAGAGAAACAGACATGCCTTCAAGATTCTGTTACCATAACCTACAACAATACATTGCATTCCTGGAATCCCTGCAGTGTTGATTTCTTGATTGGCCTACCTCAGAAGGCTGAGATCAGCTGTATGGACAGTTAGTTCCCCTATCAAATAGCTCTTATTGTTAGGATGTTTTGGAAAAAAAAATCAGTTGGAATCTGCCTTTTTATAACTTAAATCCATTAATTTGTGTCCTGTACTATAGAAAAAGAGAGAATAGAACTTGCCCTTTTTGTGTGTGACTTCCTTCAGTTATTTGAAGAATGCTGTTATATCTCCCCTCAATCTTCCTTCTGAAGGCTAACCATTCCCCCCTGTTTCTTGAAATTCTCTTCAAAGGACTTAGTTTCCAGTCCCTGATTATCCTTGTTGCAATTTTCTAAATCTGTTCCAATTTCTCTAATTCCTTCTTAAAGTGTGGGGGCAGAACTGGATATAGTACATAAAAGAGGGTCTGTCCAAAGCAGAATAAAATGCAATTTCTATTTCATGTGATTTGGAAACCATATTTTGTCAATATTTGCGTTTTTATGTATATACTGCCTTTCTGCTTGAAATGAACAATCAGGCTTAGTCTCATGTATATTGGAGATCATAGGGAAGAAGCTAAAAGATAAGGAAGGAGGGAAAATAAAGGAGCAAAACTGAATGCACATAAAGTAGAATAAATAAGGCAAACATTTATAAATTATCCTTCCATTGCCCAGCAGCTAGTAAATAGGTAAAGAAAAACCACTGCTGATATGTAGCCTTTATCAGTTTTTCCAATAGGAATATTTCCCAGCATGAGCTTTACTATATAGGACCATATAA